ACTGGGCATCAATTTTGTTGTGGGGGGGGCGAGGGAAGGAGAAGGGGCTTCAGTCCACCAAGCCCGATTCTTCTTGCGCCACAAAATTCATTGAAGATATTTGCAAACAAGCAAGAAGGCACTTCCAGATGATAAGAAAGGACCTTTCCAGTTGTTAGGCAGAACTTTTCCTACAGAAGAGAAATGAAACATATGAAACAGACATACCTGGAACATCGATTTAGGAACATTCTCCCCCACTTTTATCCTTCTCCCGAAGACTCGGACCACACATTTTCCGAATAGTTTTTATCCCAGAGCTATACAGTAATTGCACTTAATAATGAACTTAAAGACCACCAGTTGTGAACAGTTGGACTGTGTTACTTGGCCTGCGGTGTAGATGTTTGTATTTTTAGTGGGGGATTTTTAGTGGGTGGGGAGTGTTTGAGGATTTTTTTTAATGTGTGTGCATGTAGGTCTGGTCTCTAGGTGTCTGTGTGAATTTTGCTGTATGTGTATACTATGTATAGACTTACAATGAATTTTTTTAAAAAAAGTGACCCCCTTTTAAAACCTGACAAAACCAACATCTCTAACCAGCAGGAATGTCTGCCTGGTTAACCACTCTTGCAATATAAAGTGGTGTTGGTACCAAACCGTTTTCTTCGGCAGCAACTTTCTCACCCCCCACCCCCCACGCTGCAGTCCTCGCGGGTTTCTCCCGAACAAATCTGCGCCAGCCCTCAGGCGCCACAGCTCTCTTCGTGGCCCTTCCGGACGAAGACTCCTTTGTGACTTCAAAGCTGGTCAAGGACGCGTCGTCCTAGCTCTGCCTTTGACTCCAGGGCAAAAAGGGGTGCCCTGGCTCTTCTGTCTCCACTCCTCCTCCCCACGCGCGCGGGGGGGAATTCCTTTCAGCACCGGCTGAACAGCTGGGCATCCAACCCTGCCCACGCAAGGCGGGTGCTCTGCAAAATGTGGACCCCCCCCCAAATAAGAGACCCTCACCTGCTTGGCTTGCACGCAGCGTTGTCTTTCGCACCGATCCGTCTCCCCCTGTTTGCCCCAAAGACACCCGCAAACCCCGCGCACCGCACCCGGCACCCAGTCCAAAGGGCCAGACTTGTTTTTCGGGATTTTTTCTGTAAAATACCCCCCAAAAAAAAACCAAAAACTTGGGGAGGAAGTGACGTTTCCAAAAGCCTCTCTAGGAAGGGAAAAACAGTGACTTTAACTCTTGGAGAGCTAGATCCAGACACGTCAAAGAGGGTAGCAAGCAAGACAGACGCTTGGGAGCGTTAAAAGTTTTACTTGATTCGGAGAAATTCGGGTATCTCAGTGTTTCCCGGCCACCCAACTCTCTCTCTCTCTCTCTCTCTCTGTGTGTGTCTCTGTCTCTCATTCTTTCTCTTTGTGTGTGTGCGTGCGTGCGTGTACGTGTGGAATTTGCAAAGACTTCTTGAAATAGAGTGGGGGGGGTCTTTTTTGCTGCCTCCAGGACACTTTGGGAGTTATAGAGTGAAAAGCCAGGTACCTGGAAAGGTATTTGAAGGGAGAATTGTGTATTAAATCACTCGCCTTATTTTATTTTATCTTTGCCCGGGTCTCGCTCTCACCGTGGGAAAAAAGCCTGGAATTTTCCCACGCTCCGGGCGGGACAGGAGCATCTGCGCGCCTCCGCTTCCCTGGAGAATCGGGTGGGCGCAAAGTGCGCTGGAGGAAAGGGCACGTGGGTCCGAGGGGAGGTCGAGGCGGCAAAAGAAGGCAACGTAGACGTCGGCAAGTGTGTGTGTGTGGGGACAAGTGAGGTTTCTAGCCCCCTCCCCCAGATCCAGGATGGGTTTATCAACGATGATGCGCAGAGAGAAAGACGCGGTGTCGCCTGCGTGTTATTCATGTATATGATGCTCACCTACAACCACGCAGGTTCCCTCCCAGCCCGTGTAAGAGCTCAGTTGTTTTCTTTTCTCACCACAAAAACTGGCATGAAACGGAATGGGCTACTTCTGCCTTGTGATCTTATCACTTTTATGTTTGGAAAACAAACAATTTCCCCCCAGTTGTAGTTTAATACTTCAACTTTTCTTGCACCGCTCTGAGGCACATTTCAAAAGAACTTTTCAATTCTAGGGCATAAAATCAATTCCTTGAATTCTAACACTCCAACCCATTGTAGAAACCGA